CTACAGATCGTCATCGACGCACCGTGCTAACCCCATCGCATCACTCCGCCTGCACCTGCTGATGCACAACCAATAGAGCCAACGGTGTACGCGCGCGAATGCACAGTCACACGGCAGCATCGAAATGCGATTCACTAAAAACATAAATTGTTTTGACAAGAGGAATCAACTTTTTGTTCCTTTTTTCTACTGACTTTCATTCTCATTTTTTTCTTTCGCTTTCCTTCGAACGACGTTTGCTACTGCTGCTCCGGAATTCATCCTTCGCCAGACGCACCTGTTACCGCCGGTTTTCGCTTCTGCGCGAGCTTCGCTGATCTATCGGAATCTCTCAGCATCGCCGAAGGGCGCATTGAAGATCGTTCATTGATATTGGCCCGTTCGTCCACGCTTCCTTATCCGCCACTTTATTTTCATTATTCCGCCACTGCCGGACATGGGAAGCGTGATCGAAGCCAAAGAATGAAGAAGAAGAGAAAAGCCTACAACACATTCGCCGTCGTTCGCGAAACGATACCGATCGCGCCGAGCACATACGGTCCGCCATCGACGAAGTATGTCTTGCACAATGCGTGCACAACTGTATGACATGACAAATAATCGTTCGTGGTGCTAGGCAGATATACCTTGAACGCGGTTGGGTACACACGAAAGAACCGATACACCACGGAACAGAATAAACAGAGCCGACTTTTTATAGCTTGATTAGGAATCAGGAGGTAATCAATGTTGTTGTCATCTGTCGTTGTATATATGTGAAGAGAAACGGTGTTGGGGTTTGTCTTTCGTAGACAATGACAATAGAAAAATTGAATGAATATTGTTGTAACGGGTTCTTTTGAAGCGCGTTTGAGGAGCTTTTTTGTCACAAAGAAACAACTATAATTTAAAAAATTATAAAATCTTCAAAACTGCTATTCTTGCTCACAAAAGCGATAAGTTGGTTTCAGAAACAAATCCTACTATTATATCTCTCTTTTTCATTTATCTTCTTCATTTAATCCGGGAAAAAAAGTCCTGCATACATCAATTCGAATTCGATATCTGATTATAATTATATATAATTATATTTAATTGAGATTAAGACGATATCTCACATACATAATTGTATATAATTATACATAGTGTGTAATTATACATAACCAGGTAATAAAATTTTGTCCGTAAATGAAGAATTTTTTTCCGGGTAAAAAAAAAGGTTCACATTTTACATTGCCGCACTTTCGCAATGTTTTACAATGTATCGCACAAATCGCGTGTAAAATAAAGTAAACAGCGGCGCGACGACTCTTTGCAGCGCAAACGCGTTCGATTAGGAATCAAGAGCGTCGCTGGGTACCAACGTGATATTTGCGCACGAAACGATTGCGGGAAAAAAAATATACGTAGTGTATCAGCGCGATTACCCGTGTATTATCTACAGTTTTTACTGGTTGTACGAGGCAAGCAATGCAAAAGTGCTTTGTTAAAGGAAAGAATCTCCCCTATATGTATATTTCATGTGCACACTATAGAGATCCAAGCTTTACGTTCGAATTTGAATATTCAACCGCAGGTATTATCTACAAAAGTATCTACAATATTTATATTATGAAAAGACGTAATGATAAAATGATTGCGTTTAATTTTTTTCTCTTCTAACGTTTCTTTTAGATTCGTCCCCTCTTTATCACATTTAGAGATTTGTCTATAAATTTTCACGATTTAGTAAACTGTCACATTTTATTATTGCAATAACGCAATACTTAATTCCTAATATGGATTGAATGTATTGCATATGTATTGTTATTACACATGTATATACATTTTAGAGAGTCGCAGTATCTGTAAAATACTAAGAACAGTCTTTCTCTCTTTCTCTTTCATTTTCAACAGTTTGTCTGTTGCGATATCCGTGACGCTATACATAATCGACGTACACCATTATTCTACTTTATTCTAGCGACGTACAATCTGTCATACATAGCGGTCTCCATCAAGAAAATTAATAAAGCCTGATAAGTGATCGTTCTGTCTATATTCTAGTCGATACGAGCTTCTCTCAACGTCACGTCGCCACCCTCTCTCTCTCTCTTTCTCTCTCTCTTCGACAATAATCTGCTTCTTTTAATCATATTGCGCAAAAGCACACACACATACACACATACACACGTCGCTCGCGGAATGAGAAGCATTTGTAATTTCCATTATGGTTATGCGCGATGCGATGCGGCGAGCACGGTTCCCTCTTTCAACAATTTCCAAGGAAAATTTCAGTCGAGACCTATTGCTGTGATCGCGCAACTGTACAGGTGCATATCTCGTAATAAAAAAATATCTCGCGAGAAAGTAACACGCATAAATAAAACATAAGCGCACGCGTGATGTGCGATTATTGTGAATAATTAAGCTTTTAATTTTCAAGTTTCGTTCGCGCACTTCTCGCGTACATATCGTATGTATGTATACAAAATATAGAAAAAATAAAAATATAAAATAATTTTAAAAAAATCTGTTTAGTTAAAAATCAAAAAGACTAAGGTAATATAATGTCAATAATATTGTATCTGAGAACTTGCATTTTTTTGTCATTGTGGCCAAATATTCGACAGTTCAAAGGGCACAGTTTTGTTAACACATGTTAAAACGGGGATTTGAAGAAATGGAGTGGTAATTTATTATCCTCTCTAAAACACACACACACATTATCTCTACTTCTAAACAATGAAAAACTTGTTATATAGAGAAGAAAAGATAATAAAGGAAAAAGTAATGGCGTATAGTTTTTTATATACGTGATCTCTCGATTTATTGCACTTATGTGCAATATTACAATTATTTGTAATATTGTAGTTGTGTAAAATGCTATTCTTACAGAAATTGATTACTGCCAAAATAATAATTATTTTGAGCATTAAAATCATCCTGTTAAATGGAGTGCTTTTGTTGCTCAAAATAAGTATTATTTTAGTCTAGACTAATAACAAATTCCTTTTAAAAACGTCAAAACTTTGAATAAAAAATAGTTTTTAACGTAATTTCTAATATCTTTAACTTAATTTTTAATATTGAAGTATTTTCTTACAGTTTTTTATGTCATTACACCGCCGTAACAGTGTAAAGTTAACAATCTTGGAAAAGAACAGAAGAAACATATAAAAATATAAGAATCAAAACAAATAAAATCAAGATTAGAAACAAACTAACTGCTAATGTATCTAAATTGTAGTTTAGCACGCGGAAGAACGAGCGACGCGGTTTCGTTGAACCGTCATCGCGTTATCGCATATTCCCTGTTGTACAAAGTGACATCGCGTCGCATCGCGCAGAATTATAACGTGTGTGCTACATGGTAAGAAACGAGGAAAGTTATATTCTCCGGTGTACCGTCAATAAAGCCGTCGCGCAATAATTATCGTGGCGACGGTGTCTCCAGGGGCGTCATTAAGCGACAACGTCGCATATTGCCGGTTTTAATGTTTCACAAACTCTTTGCAAGTACGCGACAACGACGACGACGACGACGACGACGATCGTGACGATGTACAGTGACATCGTTTATCGTTTGTCGTCGACTACAAACTAGTGAATAGAAGTATAATGTGTGGACTCATGTTCACAAGACGGCAAATTATTTTGATATACGAGAGTATACATACCTATATGTACAAATAATCGAAGCGACAACGAGTATTATCATGTATGTAACAAAAAGTATATGTAAACAATAAATAGTAAATGAAATAATTAAATTATTCCTGATAGAATAAATAATTCACTGGACTTCATCATGAAATTGTTGAAAATAAACGTTACTAAAAAAATCATACTTTATATATATTAAAATATAAATTTTTTTCTTAAAAAAGAATATGTCTATAATAAACATTATTCTTATTGCCAAACTAAAATCTTTTTTGAACACACATACCTTGTTTTCTTAAGAAAAAGGAATTGGTTTCGGTAAGTTAACTTCTCCTTTCGCGTTACCTCACTTCGCGTGCATTCTTGCCGCTTCTTTCCTCCTGTTAAGAATACCTAAGATTTGTTCGCGTCGCATGCCCCAACATGCTCCTATTCGCTCCAACGCGCTTTTTTTCAATCAAACTTTAATGAAACTTTAAAACTTTTTTAGTAAACTTTTTCAAAAAAAAAAAAAAGTCGCGCTCAGTACGCACTAGTGCAAGCTACCGAATTCGCTGTTAGAGGGCGTTGGAGCATGCAACGCGAACCAGAGAGAAACCTGAGAGCGGCCATCCTATTGTAATTTTTTACGACGGTTTCAGCCGCTGGTTTTAGCCGTATTTTCACAAAAGTGGAACTCAAAGGCCGTTCT